GAAAAATCCAAAGTAGTATTAGATCAACCAGAATCAAAAGTACCCAAAGATATATCTACATTCAATAGTGGTTTTATTGAACGTCGTAATCAATCATTACTTGATTTTCAATCTATAGAATCTACATCAACATCTCAAACGGTGAATATCATTTTTCTTTTTTCTTTTTTAAAATAAATAATTCATTTACAGTAACATGTAAAAGTCTTTGCCCTCGAATAAGCAATTTTTTTGGAAGTTTTTCAGAACACAAAACCGTTTGATGATGGAAGTAGACACGTATTCCTTGCGGAAGATATAGCACAAACTCAAACAAATTGATCGAAAGAATACTTAGCTCTATACGATACCAATACCAACAGAAGAATGCGAGTGTCAGAAAATCAATTCAACTCAAGGATGAAAATTGGAGCTGAAGAATGTTCATTGACAGAGAATTCAAGAGTCGATGATTTCTAAAGAACGAAGAGAAAAATCATGAAATATGATGATTTTAGTATCATGACCCTGGTCGACTAGGTACTCATGTAATAACTACCGACAATGTATTTGAAAATATTGTATCAAAACAGATGAATATTTTTGAAGTTTGTTAAAGCTGGGAGAATTGGGTCATTCTCGATGCACTGTGCTAATGTTGATGCGTTTGAGCTGCCTGTAATAATCACAGAGCCTAAATCAACTCTAGTTATGTGATAAATTTTTATTCGCAAAATTTATTCTGAAACCATTTTCGTCTTGGTTAATTTGAATTCTTTCTAATGAATAATTCGAATTTTAGTAGAAAACACTCTCTGCAATCATTTGTAACTAGAACCGAAAGTCATAAGTGCTCTTGTCGATTTTTATAAGTGCTGCAGAGCTGGGCAAGTACGGACTTTTTCGAGTATTTTGCCTAACTCTGAAGTACCACAGTATTGTGAACAAACATGCGACATGAGTATCCATTCAGGAGAATATCAACGACCACCACTACATTCAAACGATTGCAGGTCATCTCATCCCCAACTCCAAAAGGTAATACTGCCTATCTTCGAGATTGGAGCAAGATAGGACTTTCAAATACAAAACTCGAGCACTGAAGCAATTTTTGCTTAAGTAAGTGTCTGGAACGATCGGCTGATTCTCGAACATTGTGCTATTTTACTTGTGAATACGATCGGTTTCCATATTTATTGCATCCACCTTGAGAAATAGTTGAAACATTGAAGGCAAATACATTTACACCTTAGTATATATATATATTAAACACAATGTAGGTAACTGATTTAATTATACATACAATAACAACTTCTCAAAAGACAAATTTATTAGAAGCTTTAGAAGAATTATTTTCTCAAGAAAATCTTGATACATATCAAATAACTGAAAGTCATTGGCATGATATATTTCTTATATTACTTAATTCATATCTTCGTTCACAATCAATAAATCGTCAAGAAATTTTTCAACGATTAACAGATAAACTTCATGATTTACGGAATAAAGAACGTCGACGTTCATCAGAATTTTATCCAAATATTTCAATAGCATCATCAACAATTGATGAAATAATAAATACGTCGAATGAATCTGATATAATAGAAACTAAACGAAAAAGTTTTCATTTTGGTAAAAGAAAAAAAAATATTTCCAATAATTCAAATTTTTTTATTCCCATATTCATCGTAGGATTACGATCATCATTTGATAGTATGAATAGTATTCAAAGTCAAAATGATTTAGAATATAATAGTATACCAGTCATAATAGATCAACAAAGTATTATTAATCAAGAAAAAATACTTTCATCAACAAATAATAATTCTTTAATACAATCATTTTCACAAAATCATTCTTCTATAGCAAAATCTAAAATAGTCTCTCATGATCTTGTTCCTAAGAAAAGTTCTCAGTTTCAATCAAACATAGATAAAATTAATGTAAATTCAATCGAACATATCAACAAACATTCATCTGTTATAAGACAAAATTTATCAATTAATTCAAATGCTATTAATGAACATCAATGTTCTTCAACTCCTATGAAACATCGTCGATATAAGATTACTGTTATGCATAGTGATGAACCATTAGATATACCTTCAAATCACGTCAAGACATCAACGGAAGTAATATTTTCAATTTTTCTTTTCTCCATAACAAACTTTATATGTTTCATATAGTCTACTAAACTTCCTCCAATTGTACCTAAAAAAAGATTATTTCCAACAAAACAATCTATATCAACAGCATTATTCGATAATCAACTACTACCGTCTTCATCGACTACAACTACAACTAAACAGATTCGAAAGAAAATAATTTCTAACTTTCGAAATAAATAAAATATAAAATTTTCAAATAATATTCTATCATAATGTCTTTTAGTTTATATTACGTATTATTTTGCTCATCGAATATCATATTCAATTTCATCCGATAAATTGGATTCAGTGGATTTTGCTAAATTAATTATGATAGAATATGTATATAACTAATAAAAAGTATCTTTCGACGATTTCTTAATTCTTTACTTCAATCAGGAAAAATATCGAATGGGTTCTTCAATTGAAATGTTTAGCAATGTACTTATTTATTGAGATTATCGATTGAGAGATACTTTTGATACTATTTTTTACAAGTAATGTTAAAATTGAAATTCTGTCAATAAAACTAATAAATATCATTATCAAATTGTACAAAAATGTTTCAGATAATGTACTTTGAATGGTTTGATATATTCTCGCTTCTCTACATATACTTTAAACATACACGAAATGATATCATAGCTTTTGGTGTAGTTGACGTCTGTTAATAAGGAATGAGAGCAATCTTAAAAGTAATTGTGAAAAGTAAATCGTTGAAAAAAATGAACCCATTTTTGAAAACTCTTATTCAGTTAATGAAGTGACAAAGGACGATATATAAGAAATCAAGTTTTTCTCAAATTTTGATGTACTACTGAAGGTCCATCCACTGGTTTTAATCCTTGAGAACTATATATAAGGTACTTAGAGATACTGTGGCCCTCAAGATATTCTAAGATGAATTTTTGCAAATTTTTGCTTTTGAATTCAATTTGATACCTTTGTAGGTGCTCTTCAATTTTCTATAATCAATAGTTTTCATCGTTATTTACTTCATACTTAAAAATAGTTTCTTCACTTAGGTCTAGGTTATTTCTTGACTATATGATATTCCAGTGCAATCAATCCTGTACTATAGAACAAGTGAGTACAACATAAGACTTTCTCAAAAATTGTACACTATCGAGCTCTATATGTTTCACACATAATATCTTTCGAAACAATTGCGAGATCATTTCCTATATGAAAGAACGAGGTATATCGACGATATTTTAACAATGGTCAATAGTCCTATTAAAAACTTTTATGTATCAATAAGCAGCACAGCATCGATGATGAACTGATATAAATAACTTCTTTATAAATGAAAAACAAAATTTTTTGGCCTCGAGATTTCTGAGGGAACAAGAATATGAAAAAATTTATTTTTGAAATGCATATGAAATATTTATAGATTCTTCTAGAGTTTCATGCGTAAATCAAGCCTAAATACTCGAAATAAAAGTTTGAAAAAGAAATAATAAAAATAACAGACATCCTTTCTATGATCCTATATTCGTACTCGTCTCCAGGAGTCTGAAGGCCAAAAAAGATGTTCCGTTTATAAAGGAGTTATCTATCTCAGTTCATCAGGAATACTGTATTAATTATTGATATATAAAAGTTTTTAATAGGATTGTTCTGTTTAGCTAAAGTACCGTTAATATACATGATCCCTTCATATAGCAAAGTAGACTATTCTCGAGGACAATCTTGCAAGTTGACAATGCATTTCTTCTGTTATGAAAGATGTTATATGTAAAACATATAATGGAATATGATATAGTCAAGAAATAACTTAGACCTAAGAAAAGCGACCATTTTCAAGTATGAAGAAAGTAACGATGAAAATTATTGATTATAGAAAATTAAAGAGCATCTACAACTATATCGAATTGAGTTCAAAAGCAAAATTTGCATAAGTTTAATTTAGAACACCTTAAGACCCACGATGTCTATGAGTACCACATATATTCCTCAAGGATTATAACCAGTATTGAACCCTCAGAGCATCAAAAACTGATTTCTTATATACCGTTTGATGTGCTCCAAACTGCTCTACAAAACCACAAATATGGCGTTCTTGTTCAAGATAGATCATCAAATCCAACAACGTCTTTTGCTTGTTCTTGTCGATCATGCAATTTTTCATATTGCTTATGCAGGAACTTGAATTGAATCAAGTTTCAGGCTATAAGGTGGACGGTCGAATATGCAATAGATTATTCAATTTTAAATAGAACTATTGATGTACAAGCCAGTGTCAGACCTAGGACTTGAGTACACTGGAGCATTTTGATGGAAAGAAAGCAGGATTCAATAATACTAAAAAAACGTGTTTTGAAGCTCATTCAACCAGTGTTTTATGTAAATTTTCTATTCCGAAGGCACGATTTAAAACTTCGGGACAGCAAGTATCTATTTTTGAAAGCATAGACACATAGTTCGTAGTATAATAATCACAAACTTCGGAAGGTCTAACCCGATATTTGGAGGGAGGTGATCCTTAATCTAGATAAAACACTGCATTCATAATACTATCGAGTCATTTTCGCACTTTTTCTTCTGAGGAAAAAAATTTTCGAGAGAGAAATTGATCGTTCTCAGTGCCCTCTTCTAAATCTGACATTTATACAACGAGTCAGTATTAGTAATATCCGCGAGATATATGATTAAAAAGTTCGAAGACTATGACATTATCTACAATGACATTGTAATATGACGTGTCAATAGAAAAATAATGTAAAATTTAATAGAAACAAATAATGAACTATTGCAGATTATTATTTTTTTCTATAATAAACATTGACAACAGGTATTATCATAAAATTTTTTTATATATTCTCAAAAGAAAAAAAAATGATACAAAATAAAATAACAAATGTTTGTTTTTTATGTTTGTCTTGAAAGTTCACTACGTACATTTTGTAGTTCATTATATGATGGTAATTTATTTTCATCATTATCAATATTAGCTATTGCATCAGGATACGATGGTGGTAAATCTGGTTTAAAATTAGATAGTTCAATAGTAGCTATTTGAGAGCGTACCATAGGCATACGACGATTTGATAATAAATTATTTGAAGAACGATATGAATTACAAAATTTATAACATACATGAATAATAATCATGCCAAAAACAAAAACAGCTATAAGTATACCAATAAGTTTGAGAGTAAAAGTATATGAATTACGTTGATTAGATTGATAAGTTGTCGTTGAATATTTTCTAGTTGTTAATGATGTTAAATTTTTCAAAGAAAACAATTCATACTGATATAAACTACAATTATTTATTGACCAATTACATATCACTGTTTGTGAAATATGTTTTTGAATAGGTATTGATATTGTCTGTGTAATAAAAATGAAAAATAAGTAGAAATATTGATTGCTATTGAATAAAACAAGCATAATAGATTGATTTGATTGACATGTAAAAAAAAAAAAAATTATTCGATTTTTTTTATAATTTTTCTCTCTTGTACTTTATCCGATTTTAACGCCAAATGGTTTTTACCTTCATACATTTTGTCAATTCAGTATCACCTATTGACATAACTCGATAAAAAAAATCGACTCAGATATAATAATAAAAGAGAAAAAAAAAATCTAGAAAGAAAAGAAAAAGAAAGACTTCGGTAAATATCGTTATTGAGACGAACAGTCGAGACGTTTTTTCTTTTTCTTATTCTTCAAAGATGTTTATGTCACTTCTGTTTTAAATAATTTGATATGGAAATTCGAACACTTGTCATTAAAATATTCCTAGATATCATTTCAATTTACAATTCAACCTTTGTCAATTAGTTATTGTTTTGACAATTATGATAGACCTATAAAAGATTAGTGTACGAGAATATTCAGCACCAAAAAATTAAGCTTGCAAAAAAATAAATGTAAAGAATGTGAATGGAAATGAAGAGAAGACTAATACCCACATTCATATACATTCATTGATCTTCTAGTTCATATCATATTGATTTTAGTCTTTTCTTTGCGCGCTTAATTTTTTTGGTACTGAACGTACTCGTACTTATCATTCCTGTTCCAATCTTCAATTTAGAAGATATTCTTGACATTTAATGATAGATTAAATCAATCAAAATATTCGATTGATATTGTCTTCAATAGATATTCACAGAAATTTATATGAGATAATTGTGCAAGACATTTTTATTAAGTTTTTGTTTTCTCCGTTTATTTTAATCAATATAGAAACTTTTTATTTTCACTACATCGTATATTTCAAATTATTTTCTTTTAAATCTTTCATATTTATGTAAAACGTAGATGAACAAATTACACATTAGTTTACAAGATTTATGTTTTTGACTTCGTTTTTTTTTTTTGTCGTTCTTTATAGAACAACACTAACAAAAGAAGAAGAAAAAAATATATAGATAGTTATTATGCACACACATACAATCGAGATTCGTACATTTACACAAATTTTTAAACCCTGAGATAATACAAGATAATAATGAAAATATTGATTGACTAGTAAATTAATTTAATCAATCTTTTTCATGTGTTGATTCAGATAATGAAATCTGATCAGATTTATTATTCATTGTAGATTTCATATCGTTCTCGATTGGTGTTATTTGTTTATCAGCATTATTTGTATTTAATGGACGGTTTTGACGATATTGATGATAAAAAGGCATTCGATTTAATCCATTTGTTGATGATTGAACAAAAGGTTTTATTATATTATTTGATTGTGTAAAACGTGAATTATCGTATTGAGATTGTAAACTTAATGTTGCTAATTGATTTGTTGCATATTGAATTGATGTTGAATTGTTAGGTGGAATCATAAAAGACGGAGCTAAAATAATTATTAGAAATAAAATTAAATATTAAATATTAAAATAATAATTTTAACCTGGTTGAATAAATGTTGTTTGTTGTGTTTGAGGATAAGAATGTGTTGGATATAAATGAACAAAAGGTGGCTGAGAATAAGGATTATTATTATCAACAACTGGTGGTATAACATCGGATCGATAAACCTCAAAAATAAAAATGATTTTATTTTATGTATCAAAAAATTTATTTTATTCTTACAGGTAAATATTGTCCATCAAATGATAATGGTTGTGGTTGTTGTAAACTATGTGTAGGAAATACATATTGAATTTGACCAGTTGGTTGTTGATGAAGTAATATAGGTAATGGAATACTATTTCCATGTTGAAATGTTGTTGGAGATATCATTGGTACATAATTATACATAGGTGAACCAGGTGTTTGTTGTTTAAAATGATGATCAATTAATTGTTGTTGTTGCTGTTGTTGTGGATAATATGAATTTAATGTTGCAGGATAAATTTGTTGAGCTAAAATAAAGAATTAAGTTTTTTTTTAAACAATTTATTCTTCATCATTTTTCTGATGGAAAAAGAAAAGAATAGAAAACATATCCCAATAGAATACGTTTGATCATATGCAAAAGCATTAGAATGATGCATAATAATAAAATCACTGAATTCTTTTTTTTTTTATGCTAATTCAAGAGATCTATATATGAAGATAGATGGAAAAATAAAATGTGAATGATAATTATTTACTTCTTGTATTTATTATATGAGTTGATGGTTGAATATTTGTTTGTTGTGTATGATGATTTGTATGAAAACGTTGTTGTTTTCGATTTAATTTATTTGCTATTCTATCACGTGTTTCATTATAATGATTAGTACGTTCGAAAGATGTTTTTTGATTAGGATTTTTTTCATTTCGACGTGTTATACGACGTGTTGTATTTTCAATTGATGAATTTGATGTTGTTATAGCACCATTAGATGATTCATCATTGGGAATAAAATTTTGAAATGAAAAATTAGGACTAGAATAAGAAGAAAATTGAGTTGATAAACAAAAACAAAAAAAAAATCTTTGTTTTTTATACATTCGAGTATTTGGTGTTTTAGTAACAATAATCGATTGTCCATTTTTATCAACATTATGATCAAGACCATAAAAAGCAGCTACACGATGAACAATCATTCGTTCATCTATATTACGAAAAAAAAAAACAAAAGAAAAAATAAAAGAAAGAATTTTAATTGAAAAGAAAAAACAAAAAAAAGAAAAAAATTCAAATATAATTTTTACAAGAATTCATTGCTTGAAATTGATGTATTGTTTGTTCTTCATTTTGAATAAATTGTTGAAAAACTTTTTCAAGACTTAATAATAATGTTCGATCTTTGGGATTATTACGTAATGTTGCTGTTATAAAAGATTCAGTATCAATACCAGAAAAATCTTTATATGGATTTATTGTATCATTAGATAATTCGATATTTATTGATTTATCATTTTCATCAGTAGATGATGAAACAACATTTGTTGTATTATCATCGTTTGTTGAAAGACGATGATTATCGGTATAATCCGTCTAGAAAAAAGATATCAATATTTAATCTTTGTTTAAAAACAAAAATTTTCTAATCAAGTCATTTATGGTCAATATGAATCTCTTAATACAAATTTCATTGACGATGTCTGTGAGAAAAAAATACCACACGTACAGGATTTACATGTATGTTACGTGAAATATTTCAAATTGAAGAATTCGAATAGTACACAGCTTGTTCTTTTATTTAACCATACAAATCATTAGGTTTATTTTTTGGAAAAGGGAAAAACTACTTGTATTAAAATTCATGATTAACAACGGTGTATTTTTGTATATTAAGTAAATCAATTTCTCGTTCACATTCTTCGGATATACAAGCAAAAAGAGAAAAATCCAATGTTTCCTTCAGTTCGATAGTAGGAGAACTTTTTTGAGTACCTGTAAAAATTATAGACATCCACAGGCAACCATCGGCATTTCGCGGACACTTATGAGCACTCCACGAACACTCATGAGCACCCCGCGAATACTTATGAGCACTCCGCGAACACTCTTGACTACTCTGCGGACATTTATGAGCACTTCGAAAACACTCATGAGCACTCCGCGAACAATGATGAGAGCTCTGCGGGCATTCATGAGTACTCTGCGAATACCTACGGATGCTTCACGGACATCCACGGTTATCTCGGTTTTAATTTATAAAAGATAACAATAGTCTTCTTGATATTTACTTTGTAAAGTGTTTTGTATAATTAAATATTAAAGTAATCATGAGTGTCTGTATGATATTTGTTTCGAAGTCAATCTTAGTTTTTTTTTACAGCTTTAGTAATGTTCGTCAGGTATTTAGAATTTTATTTTCTCCGGTTGAAGGACATTTTTTTGTTCTAGTGGTAGATTCTACGCATTTGTAAAAACACTAATGTATATATCAATAGGAACCTTTCAACACTTCTGCAATGTTGATAGCTTGTAATGACAGCAAAATGCACTCTCATACATATCTTTTACGGTTTCTATGAAAAAAAAAAAGATTAGTTTTCAATAAAATCTCATATGAACCATATAAAGAACAGATGATTTTTGTTAGCAAAAGAATGCTATCCTCTTCAAGGTCAATACACCATATCAAAAGTACTCTAATATAGGAAATAGCAATACTCTATTATCATATTTTGAATTAAAAAATAGCTTACATTGTCGGATTTATCATTAGTTCCATTCTGTAAAACATCACACTGTTCAGACGGTAAACTAATTCCTAAAAAAAAACAAAACAAAATTAATATTTATTGCGTCATTGTCTTTTCTCAAACCATCATCAATAGGAGCTGTTGTATTATTATTTTTATCAGTTTTTGTCATTTGTATATTTACACAACATGAATCAATAATATCCGCCATTTAATTATTGTTTTTTTTTTATTATTATTTTAAAGCACCATCAATGGTGGAGAAATATACGACGATAATCATATGGATCAATTTGAACTAGAAAAGAACGGAACAAAAATCTTTTTTTTCTTCTTTTATTTTACAAATCATTCACCTGTACAGTTAAATACTTGAATTAATCAAAAAAGAATAATATATGGTACATCAACTTAATAAAAGTACTTTTTTTTGGGTATAGACAAAAGAAAACAGAGATTATATCTTCTTATTAATATAAGCAAATAAACAAAATGTCAACAAAATATAGTTTGAGAAAGTAAACAATTGAAATTATTAGTTTAATATAGAAATGATAAGAAATAAATTCATATTTAATTTTAATAAAAGGAAAAGATAATATATTGAAATATTTTAATTGAAAAAGAAAAATTATTTTAATCTTTTTTTCTATTTGAAATAGAGGTCAGTATTAGTCAATGTTGGATTTCTCCCCACATGCAATAAATTTCTTTCGATTTCATCATCAATCATTACATGTGTCATCATAAAGAATTGAATTATAAATACAACTGTCTTCGAAATCAATTATTGCTAGAGACTCGTAGTGTAGTCTGACCGAGAAAAATTCTCTAACTGTTACCTTCCAGCAGGATAGGGTAATCTTGCATATCTCTAGTCCAAAGATGCAATGGTGAGATTAATAGTAAAGCTGGTGAGTAGTACATGAATAACTGACAGTAATAAGTAGTGTATCAACACTGCTAAGTTTTCTTAATAGAATTCGTTTTATT